AGAACGTGAAGAACCAGTGGCACCTACATCTGTAGAACGTGAAGAACCAGTGGCATCTACATCTGGAGAACGTGAAGAACCAGTGGCATCTACATGTGTAGAACGTGAAAAACCAGTGGCATCTACATTTGCAGAACGCGAAGAACTAGTGGCATCTACATCTGCAGAACGTGTAGAACCAGTGGCACCTTCATCTGCAGAACGTGAAGAGTCAGTGGCGTCTACATCTGGAGAACGTGAAGAACCAGCGGCATCTACATCTGCAGAACGTGAAGAACCAGTGGCATCTACATCTGCAGGAGATTATAGAACTGTTAAAGCCATACCCCCGTGTTTAGTGTACACGCCGTACAGCACGTTTGGAATCGACAAAGAGTAAAGTTGGACTTAAATCGACTGACGAACAGACCTCTGGCACCTACCTTGTTCGTAAATAGAGCAGTCTCCGTAACAACAACAACATTATCATCACGTGTGCAGACGCACGTGAATTCTACCGACGCTGCTGCGTTGGCAGTGGTTGTGGTGCACAAGTACAGCCAATAACAACAACAATAACAACAACACGTGCGCGTGTGTGTGGCCTTCATGTGACAAATATATATATATACACTGGGCGACGTTTCGGGCAATGCACCTTCACATGAACCGAGAGAGAGAGAGACCAAGAGTGGGTGTCGAGGGGGAGGGTTCTAAGCTGTACCCCAGTGTGGCCTCTGGGCCCCCTGGGCGGTCTTTGACGCGCGCGGTGAATATTTTGTGCATATTTAGAGTGGCGAACGCAGCGAGGGCGTTGCGAGCACCATGCCGATTAAATTCCGCGAATGCGCGTGGCGGTGAGAGCGGAGACTGTTTTGACTTTTGAACAACTTTTATTGCCGAAAAAAGCAGCAACAGCCACTGGAGGCGATTCCGATACGAAATACACAAAGTCACCAGCAACACAAATACACAAAGTCACCAGCAACACAAATACACAAAGTCACCAGCAACACAAACAACACACAAAGTCACCAGCAACACAAATACACAAGGTCACCAGCAACACAAACAACACATAAAGTCACCAGCAACACAAATGCACAAAGTCACCAGCAACACCAATAACACACAAAGTCACCAGCAACACAAACAACACACAAAGTCACCAGCAACACAAATAAAGAAACGCCTTAAATCCACGAGAGAGAGAGAGAGAGACGGAGGGGGAGACGGGGAGGGAGAAGGGGATGGAGAAGGGGAGAGACACGGAGAGAGACGGGGAGAAAGAAGATGAGAGAAGGAGGAGAGCAGAGCGTGATATCTTTCGTGAAATCGTTCATTTAAACAGGGGGGGGCGGGGAGGGGTTACGTAAAGCAAAGCATTGTAAAAAAAACCCAAAAAACGAAATGTTGAACGAAGCAAAGTGCCGACTACACCGAGCATCTTCTTGTTTCCTCTGATCGTAAACAAAAGAGAGAGAAGGGGAGAGAGACGGGGATGGATAAGGGGAGAGAGAAGGAGGGGGGACGAGGAGAGAGAAGGGGAGAGATGGGTAGAGAGACAGGGAGAGAGACAGAGACAGGGAGAGAGACAGAGAGAGACGGGGGGGAGAGACAGAGAGAGACGGGGATGGAGAAGGGGAGAGAGACAGGGAGAGAGACAGAGAGAGACGGGGAGAGAGACGGGGAGAGAGACAGAGAGAGACGTGGATGGATAAGGGGAGAGAGAAGGGGGGAGACGAGGAGAGAGAAGGCGAGAGATGGGTAGAGGGACAGGGAGAGAGACAGAGAGAGACGGGGAGAGAGACAGAGAGAGACGTGGATGGAGAAGGGGAGAGAGACGGGGAGAGAGACGGAGAGAGACGGGAAGAGAGATGGGTAGAGAGACAGGGAGAGAGACAGAGACAGGGATAGAGACAGAGAGAGACGGGGGGAGAGACAGAGAGAGACGGGGATGGAGAAGGGGAGAGAGACGGGGAGAGAGACGGGGAGAGAGACCGAGAGAGACGGGGAGAGAGAGAAGGGGGACAGACAGAGAGATACGGAGACGGCGAGACGGAGCGAGGTGGGTGGGGGGGAACACGGCTGCCTCGTTGTTTGTAGGGAGTTGCACATCTTGCAGCCATTACTCTGTTTAGACTTGGCAAGAACGCGATGTGCTCATTACGGCGATAATGAGGACGCCGCTACGACACGCACAGCCACCCTCACACAAAAATACCGCGTGTAGCCCGCAACAGACTGCTGGGGCAAGTGCTGTTAGCGAGCAGCACCACCTAAGAAGGCTGCCGGCACTGTGGCGCACGAGGGGGTGGGTGGCCAGCACTACGCCCGGCCGCCTTTGTCTCCACAGTGGGCGATGTCTTTTTTTTTCCAACAAAACACAACGCACCCGATTCTGAGTTGCGGCCGAGTCGACCTAGGGGAGGCCCCCGTGTCGCCTCCGGCGTTGTCGGTGGCGGGGAGCGGGAATCGAACTCGGGTGGCCGGGGCAGCGCGGCGAGCCAAACCGCTGCGC